AGAAATAAAATCTGTAAAATAATAAAATCCTCCATGAATGCAGCCGTTTGCTCGTTACTTTACATGTTTTAGTGAGTTTCCTCAGTTTTCCTACATGTAACACGACTGAAGCTTCTGGATGTTAAGTTGTAGCTGAACACAGCATCTCTCCATCACTATCTGATGCTGGTTCCAACATCCACCTGTCCAGGTAAACGGTTTCCCTGCCCCACTAGTGTTAGCGCCTGACCTACATCGGGCGCCGTCAGCGGCCGTTAACGGAGACGGTAATTAATCAGCACCAGAGCGGTGAGTATTCTCCACATTGTCTCGTCGGCGTCGACAGGCCTCATTTAGAAGCCATTGTAAGCGAGACGGGAGGCGATATTGAGCACAGCGCCGCTGGGACGCGACGCTAACGTGGCCTCGTGCGCCGGCCTGTCAGCGCCTCAGTGTGTCGGCGAGGCCCCGGAATAAGTGGGACACCGCGACAGCAGCAGCATCCGTAGGGGTCGGCTCGGCTCTACACCCAGCTGGAAGCGTTTCAGGGCGACGGCTGATAAGAAAGCAGCCAGATTTCTGCATTAGTGGTTCAGAAAATCCGACAGCGGGCAGCTGCACGACTGCTCGGAGTCTGAAACACTGACGCAGCCGAGCTGAGAAAGATGGCGGCCGCAGTGGGGACAGTGATAAAGGACGAGAAGGGTTTAGTGTCGACGGGAACAGTTAGCAAGCAAACATGGAAGACGACGTTTCTAAACCCTCCGAACACCAAAACCCTCTGATGGTGTGACTGTAAGGAGTGTCATCGTTTTAAGAATAACCGTTTATCAGCCAGAGACCATAAAGAATCCTCAGATTTCCAACTTTCTGACGGATCATGAACGAATCGTGTGAATAGTTTTGTCAGGAAACTGAACCAGAGCTCAGCTTAATTTCACGTTTTAGGAAAATCGCTTCATTCTATGTGACTCGTTTAAATAAAACATCTGCACCAAACAGACTTAAAATCATTATATTGGATCAGAAATCCCATAGTTCTGCAGGTCTCAGTTAAAATGTGCTAAAAGGAGTCGTCAGATTTATTCAGACTTTCTAAAGGTGAGTTTAAATTCATGATATTTGATCAAAACCACTTTATTCTACACACCTGATTTAAAAATGCGCCAACACCAGAAGA